TAAGTTATCCATGTCATAGACTAAATGTTAGGCTATTACAAAATGTTCTCCTCCAGATTAGTCAACCACCCTTAATCTTATCTTTTACACATTCTCAGGACATGGTCAAAATATTGATAATTTTTCTGCTAAGAATATAACACATGGCTTCTAGTCCAACTGCAAGTGATATCTTTGTTTCCATCTGAAACCTCCTGAGCCTGGCCTTTATTATCTGTATTCCTGTCATCATTCTGATCTTTTTAGCTCCAATTACAGTCACCCATAAAGCTCTGTTTGTAGCATTTATATGTGCCTTCATTTGTCAATCTTTCCAAACTCTGCCAACAAACTAGATCCAAAGGCTTCTAAACCACATGATACAATCATAGCAATGATTCCACTTTCAGTACCAGTTTCCTGTATTAGTCACTTTCTCTTCAGTAGGACAAAATACATGACATCTGCAACTTACAGGAGACAGTATCCTAAAAGTGAATAGCTAGTGAAAGCTGTTCAACTGATGGCAGCTAAGAAGCAGGGGAGAAGGCAAGAGCTGGGGATAAGTACACACCCTTCCTAGTCATGTTGTAAGTGACCTGCCACCTCCAGCCTCCAGCCCACACTACCTATGAACATGAGACTTTGGAGGACATGTCTAGACCTAAACCAGAACAAGTATAAATACTGATAAGTATCTTTATGAATCTGTATATTTTATAAATTTTATATAATTAATGTATTAATATTCCTCTGTTCAATGATTCTTAGTATCTTTTAGGATATTATATATGAATATATATAATATTATATATATATACATTACATATATATCTCCAGAGTCTTCTTTCACAGTGATATACATCCCTAGACCTCCTCCTCCTTTTCTTATATTTATTTTTTATTTTTATTTTATTTTATTTTATTTTGAGACATCATCTCACTATCACTGAGAGTTACACAGGCAAAGCTCAAATTTGTGATCTTTCTGCATCAGAGTACTAGGATTACAGATATGTACCACTATATACAATTTGAGATTTTTTCATAGAATCATAAAACCTTGCTGAATCTTGTTAGGGCAGTGTTTTACCAAACTCTCTAGCATTGGAAAATATCAAGAAGTTTGGTGGTGGTGGTTTTTTGGTTTGGGGGAGGTGGGGTTTTTTTTGTTTTTTTTTTTTACTTTTTTGGGAGACGGTCTCACCTTGCAGTTCAGGCTGGTTTCAAATTCATTAAGTAGCCTCAAGCTTGTGATGGTGCTGCCTTGGTCTCCCAAGTTCTGGCATTCCAGGTGTGTACTCCCACACCCGGATCCATTTTTATTTTGAAATAGGGTCTCACAGAGTCGTTAAATTGTGCAACCTTGAATCAAACCTGTGATCCTCTTGCCTTAATTGGACAATAGACATGCTCTACCAGGCCCGGGTGTTATTTATTCTTGTTAGTAATAAATAGAATAGTTAGAAATGCATATTTCAAAACTAGTAAGTAGAAAACCCAATGAAAGTATCACTAGAAAAAATTACATTTCATATAGCTATGAGATTAAAAAGAAAGCCTATCCTGGAAAGCATCTGGGTCCCATGCTTTGAATATGTCAAAAGTCTGATTTGTATGTCCTGTTACATGTTCAAGCTAAAGAATCAACATAGAAATTGGTCTCAAAATGGTGACATTTGGGGTGGAAATTCCCTAGCCCGTTCTTTATAGAATTTCCATAGATGAAGTCCCACCAAGGTTCATTATCCACAATTTTAAAATAACAGTAAATAATGAAATGGACCATGAGTTAGAATCAGCAGTAACAATATTCCCAGGAACATCATACACAATCCAACAGAGATGCTAAAATTAATACATGGCTAGGCATGATGGTGGAAGACTATAATCCTAGCACCTAGGAAGCTGAGGCAGGAGGATCACTACAAATCTGAGGCCAGCCTAGGCTACCTAATGAATTCAAGGCCATCCTAAACTACCTAGCAAGACCTTACTCAAAAAATAAATAACAACTAAATAAATAAAATTAATTTGTGAAAGTGATTAAAGGAGTATCTAAAGGAACCAAGTCTCTGAATATAACAAGACAGAATACTAACAAAGAAAGGAGAATTTTTATAAGTGAAAGACATGGTCATTGAAAAGGAATTTCAAATTGTAAAAAAGGCATTTCAAATCGGGTTTAGTGGCACACACCTGTCATCCCAGCTACTCAAGAGACAGAGGCAGAGGATAGTTCGAACCCAAGAGATCAAGGCGAACCTCAATGACATAGTAAAAGGCCCTATTTCTTGAAAAGAAATAAAAGGAAAGATAAGAAAATTACATCAGTTTAATCCATAGCTTGTTAGATTTGATAACACTAAACAAAGAATTAGCAAAGTGTAAGTTGACTCTGAGGAAAATACCCGAAATGCACTGTATAGAGCTAAACACTAAATTATGAGAAGATAATTTAGTTGAGAGCATAGGAGAGTAAAAACCAGTATTACAATATTCATTTAATAGGTATTCCTGAAGTAGAAGCCACAAAGGGTAGAGAGGCGGTATTCAGACAATGGCTGACAGTTCATTTTAAACAGTGTTGAGAAAAACAAGAATCCTCGTATGTTAGAAACATAAACTAAAAATATTTTACCTAGTTCTGGAGTATACACAGATGTCTAAGATAGTAGTAAATGCCACTATAGAATGTAAATTACTCACCCAGACTTAGGTGACCTCTTTTGCCCTTCAGTGATGCTATAACAGAAGCAACTAAAATGAACGTAAGAGACTGAATTCTACTCCTGTCTCACAGATGAAGAAACTGAGTCTTTGCAAAATCACATTAATAATGAGTGACAAAGATTTAAGGTCAGGCAATCTTCTCCAAATCCTAGCTTTTTTTGGTAACTTTACCAAACTCTCTCAAAACTAAATCTGTTTATCAAATAAGTGACTTTCCTTGGTTAGGGCCATTTAATTACATGTAGATGGTTATTACTAAGGTTATAGCTGCATCATGATGAGATTATGGATGGTTTTGAATGTAATGTGTGAACAATGGAACAGATCTGATATGTTACCAACAATATTGTAAATAGGTGCAACCTCTTCGGAAAGCATTTTGGCAGCAAATTTCAAGAGCCATAAAATGCTCATATTTTTTGACCTAGTTAATGCTACTTCTGGGACTCCTCTAGAGACATCATCCAGTATGGAAAAAACCTCAGCATTAAAATTTTATATATATATATATATATATATAGAGAGAGAGAGAGAGAGAGAGAGAGAGGTAATCATTTTAACAATATATAATAACACAACTGTATAATTGTGTTATATAATAACAGTTGTGTTATTACACTGGTAGAAGTAACCTAGATGTTGAACAGTAAGGCAATGACTGAATTAAAAAATAATGGAACTTTAACTTAGCTAAAAATGTGATATGTGATATAACATAGAGAAAAACAGTCATGAGTTTTAAAAGCAGAACACAAAATTATGTGTGTACAAAATTTATTATAAAAATGAAAAGAAATATAAAAATAAGTGCAATGCTGTGATTATAGCTTTCCTATTTCCACTAGTGTTTTAAGTTTTTCATAATATAGACTAACTTCTAGTTTTAAAATTGAAGTCACATGATGAAATTTTGTGCATTAACCATGTAACCCCTACTAGATGGTAGACTGCCTATTGAGAGGAAGCAGCATATTAGACTTAGTGCAGTGTTGGAGGCTGCCAGGCAGTCTCTGGGTACCTCTTTTATGGGTTATATGAATCAGGCAGTCACTATACCTGTGTACCTTTTGAGACCATGAGTTACAAATTTTGATTTGTTAAAATAATAATTCGCCTACATTAACTTTGAAGAAAGAAGTTTGCAAAATACCCACAGGTTCTTGGCTCTTGACATCATTATAGAACACATGGTTTAAAAGAAATTATCAATTTTTGTAATGTCCTCTGGAGAAATGTAGGAAATCCATCCCATGCACAGAAAGAACCAACAGAGCAACAAATGTCTGAAAAGACTTGGCTAAGCAGTGGAGCTAGATGATTCTGTAGCAGTACTCTGTCTTATCCTGTCCTACTTACATAAAAAAGAAACAGTGGACCAGGTGAGGGATTGAGAACATTAATCATTCTATTTTCTGGGCTTTGCAGTTTAAGGGAGTCATCTACAGAATGACTTACAAGTATGTGTGATGGGGTGCAGGGGGTGGGAGGGTGTTAGTCTTTTTTTCCAGAGTAGGAGTAGAATTTCTAAAGATGAGGTTGTGCCTCACAAAAAATTTTCACTGTAGCTTGTTTGTCACACCCAGTACATTGAAGAGGACATAAGAAATGTTTCAGGACAATTCATTTTTTTACATCAACATTCTCCTTTTTACCCCCTTGGAAATTGTGTCTTTGGACTTCTAAGACCTACTAACACAAATAGACTCCTGATTGGTTGGCAATAAGATATCCCAGTTTCATGCTTAGTGTGTGCACATTAAGGAACTCACTCATCCCTTTGAGCCATTTCACCTGACAAGGCTGAGCCATAAACCTTCACTTGGGCTATTGGTTAACTTTTGAAGCATTTCCTCTTTGCGGAAAGTCACTTCACTTATTTACAGAAGAGAGACCAAACCTAGCACAAAATTTGAGGTTTCAGCTTAGAACTTCATGGACTGCCACAGATTTAGGCAGTGACAGTATTACATGCTGCTGAAATAGTAGGAGTTTGAAATTGTCGTGTAAAAGCAGAGTAGATAGCCAAGCCTTGAAGCTTTCTACTTTGAACAACTGTGGCCCTCTAAAATTAGCATATAACTTGATGTCCTACAAAAATCCAGGTTCTCTGAGGCTTCTGAATATTTTGTACTGCTAAGGGAAGTAGCACCCAAGGAAGTTCCATAGAAAGTTAGCTGAATTTACATGCTGTTCTTAGGAGAAAAGATCATCAGTTTTACATAGTTCAATTTATTTCTTGAGTATTTTGTGTAATTGATTACTGATAAAGGTGATTTAATATTTTTCAGTATTGCCTGTCAGGGCACCCAACCTTACCATGCAATATCCTCAAGTTCAAATCAACCACCATTATGCTAGACTGTGGACTGGACATGACTTCTACCCTCAATTTCCTTCCTTTGCCACTTGTTCAAAGGTAAGTATCCTGAATCAAATGAGATTTAATTTGCTGAAAATGGTGTCCATTAATACAAAAATTATCAATGCTTATGGTTGTCCTATAAGTTTGCTTTGTCCCTTAAAAATGTTCTTTATCAAAATAATTTTCTTTGGGTATGTTGGTAGAAAGTGTTCTATTGATTTATTGATTGATCTTTATTCTAACTTCTAAGCTTCTATAAAATGTTTCTGCAACTACTTAGTGCAGCTGAGGTCATGTATATTTTATCTGTCTTGGTAGTTCATTAGAACTAATAAATGGCCAGCTGATGAGCCCAAGAATTGAATTTTAGGATCACTTAACTATCTTAGCAAGGACTTGCCATTGTAGAATCTGACATTTCTTTTCAGTAGGTATCTAGCATTTTCATATTTGTCAAATTTTGAGCTCACAGAACCATAGATGTAGCCCAAATTCATATATTGAAGTCTAGATAAATTGCCTTGGACCTACAGTCAGCACTGTTAATGTTCAAGATTTTGTTTTAGGAAATTGATTTCCCAGCTTGTTCCTACTTAGAAGCAGGAGTTTATAAGAACAGGGGCTAAGTTTTAGAAATAAGTATACTCACAGGAACAAAAACCACATAAAGTGAGGAAATGGAGGGAAGAACTATCTAAAGCAAATTGAAGAGCTTAAAAGCCTAGCAAGCTGAGTAAACCAGTCATTCCTGAAGACATCTGAGTGCATTGATTATTCACAGTGATAACCCCATGAACCATCCAGAAGAATTATAATCAAGCATTGATTTTTCTGAGCTATAGGATACAATAAGGTGGTATGGTGATAAGGTCAGAGATAATTTCAGATTACATTTTATGCAGAGCTGACGGGATTCAATTATGATCACACCCAGCACTTAGAAATACATTTACCTGGGGCTGGTGAGATGGCTCAGTGGTCTAGAGCACCTACTTAGAACAAGCTTAGCAAAGCACAGGGACCACAGTTCAATCCCCCAGCACCACATGCCAGCCAGCCCCGCCCCCTGGTGGGCTGAGCTGGACACACTCACACACACACATAAATAAATAAATAAATAAATAATTATTTTAAAAAAAAAAGAAATACATTTACCATCCATGGGTATTAGTCAGCATGGAGGTAAGCAGTGCTGTTTAACATGACCAGCAGATTATTACATATTAAAATAACCTAACAGTATTTTCTGTTTCCCCTCAAAGAGCAGTTTGCTTATTCATTTGGTGTTGATTAATAATCTATCCTTTGCTGGACAAGGGATACTAATATTAATAAGATGCTTTCTTGCCTTCATAAAACTTGTCTTTCAGGGGAGAAAGACAATATACAGCTGAAGATTTAACTGTCCTTGTGATAGTTACTTTAAAAAATAAAATAGAAGATAATATGGGGGGCCTGGCCCTAGCTCAGTTCTTTGAGTGGCTGCTTCCACAAAGCTGTCAGCCTCAGGTTGTTGTAGTTCGATCCTAACAACCCTCCAGCCAGCCAAAAGTGCCCTGAAGACATTCGAGGAGCAAAAAAAAAAAAAAAAAAGATAATATGAGCATTTCCAGAGAGGACCCCGTCTGCTCTGTGGGGTCATGAATTTTCTGAGTGATCAGAAAGTGGAATTGAGTGCTAAAAATGTGGTTCAGGGATAGAGCACTTACCTAGCATGTGCTAGGCCTTAGGTTCAGTCCCTGACACTGCAGAGAAAAAAGAGAAAACTCGAATTGTTCAGAGCATCCCTGCTGCATACTTTCCTTTTACTGGCATTCTTTCATTCCTCTGTTCTCACAATCCTGACTCAGCAGAGTATCTACTTCTGCTGTCACCTCTCTCATAGTTCTTTTGCTCTCAGAGGGAAGTTATACTAGGGGTATGGTTGACAGTTTGTGTAGTTCCTTAGAAAATGTCTTCTTGAGCTCAGGCCAGAAACCATAGAGACGTATTTGTTCAAAATAGTTTCCTCTGTCCCTTCCTCCTCCTTCCTCCTACTTTGTCTCCATTGCACTTGTCATTACACTATACATAATATTTAATCTATTGTCCTTCTCTGTGAAAGTTATTTCCTAAGGGTATATAGGGATTTTATTTGTCCTCCACTGTATTCCCAGAACCTAGGACAGTTCTTGTTGTGTATTAAATATTTGCTGTATGAATGAGTGGCTTTATCCTCCTTGGATCCCAGCTGTCCTTTCATTAATATAATTCATCAATTATATGATTCAATTATTTATCTTTCCACTGTGACACATTCTTTTCTATTTAATTGTGGTCAGTCACATATAGCCTTTTTTTTTTTTTTTTTTGGTAGTAGGAATTAAACACAGGGCCTTCTCATCTAGCTGCATCACCAGCCATTGTTTTTATTTTTCATGTTGAGACAGGATCTCACTAAGTTGCCTAAATTGCGCAGGGTAACCTTAAATTTATGATCCTCCCGCCTCAGCCTCCCAGAGTACTGGAATTATAGGTGTGCACCACACAGCCTGGCTTTATTTAATTTTTTTTTTTTTTTTTTTGCGGAACCGGGGATTGAACTCAGGCCCTTGTGCTTGCCAGTGAAGTGCTTATTCTACTGAGCCATCTCCCTGGCCCCCTTTATTTAAAATTGAAGACAAAATTTTAACCTCTTCAACTGTGTTTTTCCCTTCAATAACCTTTACTCTGCCCACACCACTCCACTGCAGCAGCTTTCACTAAGGTCACAAATGACTTGACATCCAGCAGCACTGGCCTCCACACCAATGTGTCCCTGGCTCCCATTTCATTTTTCTGACTTCCTTTTCTGTGTTTTGGAGACTCCTCTTCCTCAAAACTGGCCATCATGTGCTATATTGGGATTCTTCATTGTTCAGAGCTTAGCTTTCGTAGTCTCTACCAGGGAAGTTTAACAAGTCCTCAGGGCTTCAGTGACCCATCCAAACAATAACTTAGCAGTGTGTCTTTAGATAACTTCCTTTCACTCCTTGGCTCTGAGTTTCTCTCCTTGGATGTGCCTTTGCTTGGTAGTACTTCCACAGTCAACATGTCCCGAAGTAAATTCATGATGAGATTTACTCTAGCAAAGAACATACTCTCTCAGAGTTGGTTTTTCCCCCAAGTTCTCCATTTGAGTGAGTGGTATTCTGTTATGAAATTTGAAAACCAGGAGTTAGCTTAGATGCACACCTCTTTCTCACTCCCCAAATCGAGTCTCTTATTAAGTTTTATCATGTTTACTTTCTGAATAGTTCAAGAACCCAGATACATCACTTCAGTGTTCCTGCAGTAATGGTAGCTTTTAATACAGGCTACTGAAGCCTCCTAACCAGATTTTTCAAGTTTGACCTTGCCTGTGTGGATCCAGAGTCATCTTTTCATGTAGCTTTGTATTTGGAAATCTTAATAGATTTTCAGGAAATTGGCAAACATAGTACAAACAGCTCCTAATTACTCTTGCAATTGCTGGCATTTTAACACATGCATCACCATTTTATATATCCACCTGTTATTGCTGACCCATTTGAGAGTAAGATGCACACGTGGTGCTCCTTGACCCTTAAATATTTGAATATGTATTTCCTAAGAGCAAAGACATTCTCTTATCTATGATACACTAATCAAAATCCAGAAACTTAATTGTTGTATACCAATATTGTATGATTTCTTCATATTTCCAGTTTTAACAATTTGTATTTCACTATGAAGCAGAGTTGTATATCATTTTTAGGCCAGAGTGCCTATTTTTCAATTGTTATGAATTCTTTTTTTTTTTTTTTTTCTGAACCGGGGATTGAACTCAGATCCTTGCATTTGCCAGTCAAGCACTTATCCTACTGAGCCATCTCCCCGGCCCCTTCACTATGAAGCAGAAAAGAAAAAAATTCCTGGCCCAGGATCACATTTTAGATCACATACTACATTTAGTTTTCATGTTTTTAGGCTCCTTTAATTTGAAAGAGTTTCTCAGTCTTTTTTATGGCTTTGACATTTTTAGGAATACAAGCAAATTATCTTACATATTTTTAAGTTGGACTATATGTCTTCATAAGTGGATTGAGGTTAGTTTCAGTAGAAATCTAATCTTACCTCTCATTTGTTTAAAATCTCTCAGTGGCAAAAAAAAACAAAACAAAACAAAACAAAAATCTCTCAGTGGTTTTTCATTGCTCTTAGAAACACCAAACTTATCTTGATATATTGCAGTGATGCCGGCTACTATGGTGTCATCGTTTTGCTCTATCTCTTGCTCTTTATTCCTTCTAGAATTTCAAAGAAATCTTGTCTGTTGCCTAGAGCCAGCATATACGTTGTTCCATCAGCCTGAAAGGGTCTTCTCTTCCTCTTTCATCCTGTCTTCCTCAGTTTGCTTAGCAGGAGCTCACTTCTTAAAGCTTTTAAGATAGCAATTCCTGTTAAAGAACAATATGGAGGAGATGCCAATCTAGTTGGATGAGGGATTGGAAGAGTTTCTGGTACTCTTCCTGAAGTTTTATTTGAATAACCTTCACTGAAAGGTGGCCCCGCCAAAGATTGATGAAATGACAGGAGGAAATCACTGGGCCTGGCAGTGTCTCCTTTCTCTGTGCCCCTGTTTCCTGACAATAAAGATGGTTCCTTTATTGTCACCTCAGCACTTTGTTCATAGTAACTAGTTTTTGTAACAAATGTAGTCATACCTCTTCCATTATTTTTTTTACTATAAATTTAATGTATTTCAGACTAGAAAATTATTAAAGTGAAAAGTGTAAAGCACGCCAACACTTGGGAGACTGAGGCAAAAGGATCACTGTAAGTTCAGAGCCAGCCTGGGCTGCAAAGTGAGTTAGTTCAAGGGCAGCCTGAACTGCATAGTGAGACCCTGTCTCAAAAAGACAAACAAGCAAAAACATTATACGTTCAAACTACATTTTAATATTTTTATAGGCAGAGATTACTTAGAGGGCCTTGGGTTAATTATTTAGGCACAGTTTACCTATTTTTTCAAAATAAGCAATTACTAGAAAAATCTTACATACATGTTCCAAAATTCACAGACATGATACTCAGTTTTGAATTTTTGAAGCATTTCAGATTTCAGATCAAGGATACCCAACCAGTAAGGTGTATGCAAATATAAAATCCAGATCAGTGAACTGAAACATTTCTGGTGCCAAGCATTTCAGTAAGTAATCTGTGGTATCCCTGTGCAGTCATGCTTTTCTTTGACCATTTAATCCCATTGACTGGCAATGTCCCCACCCCCAAATAACTATGGGGGCTTAGTAGAAGAAGGACTTGTTGCAGAATATTTGTTGAGTGTTCAGACTGTAACCTCTGAATATTTTGCTTTTTAAAAAATTAGTTTCTGATAAGCAACATACTGTTTCTAATCATTTGTTGAAGACATCTAATGCATCTGTCACCTGATTCATGTGTTCTGGTGAGGAGGAGACAATGCATGTCCTTTAGTTCAGTTCTCTTTGTAAAGGGAATAAATATTTACAATCTTGTTTTAGAGAGTTAGCATGCAGGCATGAGAATGGTATTCACATCATCTCATCATTACACTGTTATTAGATTGTCTGCTTTTTAAGTTTGATCTGATAACAAATATATTTTTCAGGAAGTAAGACATTTACAAGTAAAGGCATCTGTGACTTTGAAACAGGATGAGAATAGAATATTTTGATGAGAAGTTAGAGCAGAGAACTGAGTTTTTTTTTAAGTTCAGGTATAATTTGTGCAAACCAATTTTGATTCTTTCAGTAGTGCTTTTCATTCTCAAGTATGAAATTCAAAATTCTCATTTTTGGATTAATAAAGCAAAACAAAAATATTAAATGAATTTAGTTAAAGGATATATAGAAATTTGTTGTATGTACATTCTTGGAACTTTTCTGTAAGTTTAGCATTATCAAAATTGAAAGTTTCTCTGAAAAGTCATTGGTTTTTTTTGAAACTAGAAATATATATATGTTATTATTCAGATTTTTCTGAGTAAAATCTCTGCAAAGAGGTTGACAGATATCTTTACACTTGTATTTCTCATTGGTTACAAAGTTATAATCAATAAGGTATTCAAGAGAAAGAAGAAAGTACAGATATTTTGTTTCTGGTAATGCAATAGAATTTTTAGTCTCATGCCCTTATTTCACCTTTTTCTTTTACTTCACAGACATTAACTTTGAGAAGAGCAGAAGTTGTACTGCTATTCCACTTGTATTCCCGATTGGCTTTTTCTTTACTCATTGATCGTTTTTTTCATTTGACCTATAAATTGTTTTTTCTCCTAAACTGTTGGCATGTTCAGCTTCCAGTATAATCCTTCTCATCACAAATTATAAACAGTTAAGTCCCGAGATCACTACAAGTGAAGGATTTTTTAATTCAGGGTTTTTAATCTCACCTTGTAGAAACTGTTCACCTGGAGAGACTGTCATTTTGTAGCACTTGTGAAAACTAGCTTCATTTCCCGTAATTGGAGACTGGAGTCTCAGGTGATGAGTGAGTGATGCACTTGTCAGTGTCGACTCCACAATGCAGTTTGAGGAGCTCAGGTGTCCATATTCAGCAGTAAAGTGCCCTTATCAGAGAGCACTGAGCCCAAGTCTGCCTCCTCGCCTGCATATAGCTCTGCCCTCTGCTTGGGCACATTGTCAAACACAGCTAACGGTGGTGTACTCATTGGAAGACTTTAAAATACCTTATGTCTTAATGTGTCTTTTTTTCTTTATTATTCTGCATAGCATTCTAATTTTCTTAATTTTGTTCAAAACTATTTGACCTTTGAATATTCTGTTGCCACATAATTACTAAGTTCAAAACAACATAGCTCTTTTTTTTTTTTTTTTTTTTTTTTTTTTTTAGGGTTATTTTGGGTAAGCATCACTGCCAGTAATATCAAACTGTTTTCAACTTTATGGAGACAGTACAGTCACCATGAAATCACTGAGGATTATAATCTATTTAGGACAATTTAATTTTTGTTTTGCAGTCCCAGGCTGTGTAATCTTCCTGGCTGGTCCCTGAAGGATGGAAATGCTTTCTTAGACAAGGTAATGTCCAAGATGAAAAGTGGAAGCCTGACTACACCCAGTGGAAACCATTTTGTCCTACGAGAGCCACCCTGTAGAAATGTGACTTGGGCGCTCATGGGTTTTTGTTTTTGTTTTTTTTTTAATGTATATTCACATGGTTGGCAGCAAGCCAATAACACTCATGTTAGAGCATTCAGGTTTTGATAATTATTGTTTTTGAGTACCTTTTTAGGGAATCTCATTGTTCAGTTTGAGATCAAATTTATGCATGTGTAGAAATCTAGATGCTTCTGTTATAAATACTTTATATTAAAAATTGTTATTTCTAAAATTATAGATAGTAGGCCTGCCTGATAGCTCAGTGGACTAAAGCACCTGGTTAGGCAGAGCACAGTGTCTGGGTTCCACGGGCCCTTCCTCCGGGGCATGCTGAGAGCGCAGTTGAGACTGGGTGTGGTGGCGCGCACCTGTAATCCCAGCACTTTGGAAGCTGAAAACAGGAGAATCAGTATGAGTCCAATGTGTGTAGTGAGACCCTGCAGACCCTGTACTAAATATAGAAAAAGAAATTTAAAAAATAAAATTATAGATAGTTTCAAAGGTGATACTATTTTTAATACTTTTTAAAGAGCTCAGTCAACTTATTAAATGAGACCAAAGCTCTAAAAATATCAAAATGGTAATCTAGTCAGTTTTTAATAAAAAAAAATCAGAAGTATAGGAAGGTTAAATACTATAAAGCTTCTGCGTGCCACTTCTTGGCCCTCTAAATCATTCTTCCTCTCCAGTTTCACAGTTGGAAAATTGAATGAGTTTAAAGATTCTTAACTTGATTCATCTGAATAATACATTTCCTTCTTGTAAGAGATATTGTTAAGGAGGTGCTTTTTTTCAGAATTAATTCTTGTAACTGAACCCCAACATCTAATATAAGCCAAATGCATAATTGGAAACCAGATTGCTCTCATAGCTAACTATAAAATTATGTGACATTCAGGAAACTGCACCTGATTTCAGCCTGTGTCTCCTGCTGGCTATAAATCATTGTTCCCTGAGAAAGGCTCCGAAGCATCCCATTACCAGTGCATTGTGAGGGAAATGACTTGCATGTGTATGTGGGAGTGGTGAATAAAGTACAGTGACATTGTGAGTGTTTGGAATGGCAAATATGCTTCTGCAGGCCAGGAAGGATGAGTGCCTCAGAGGAGACTCTATCATGTCATACCCTGATCCACAGCAATATGGGAGCAAGATTACATAGCCAGTCGGAAGCCAGACGGAGCTTTAAAATTTCCCATAATTTGTCTTTAATCCTTTTTAGCTGCATCCTAAGGGAGTTGGGCGTTTTTTCTCATTAAACATAATTGCTCATTTGTTTTTAGATGCCAAGTGTTGTATATTATAATTAAGAATTGTTTTCAGTGGGCATGGTTGTGCACACCTATAGTTCCAGCACTTAACTCGGGAAACTGAGGCAGAAGGATAATCATGAGTTTGATTTCAGCCTGGGAGGATAGTGAATTCAAGGTCAGCCTAGAGAACATGGTGAAACACTGTCTGGGGAAAAGAAAACATATACACAATTTTCAGTGTCTCTCCAACTCAGCCTTCTCACTAAACAGTACTCAGATAAGGAGGAATCCAGGTGTACAGTGTATAACAGGCAGAAATATTCTATCAAGGCTCTTAACTTGGGACTTGTAAAATCTGAAAAGATAATAATGTTATTAATGCCCTATTTTCAGATGCAGAATGAGAGGAAAATAATCATTTGAACTATATAAATTTAGATACATGTATATATGAATATATGGAAATACATATTGAGTGAACAATGAAAATATGATAGAACCAAATTATAACAATACTTTCCCTTTCTGGAAAAAGCCATGGATACTGTGGATCTAATTCTGACTGATTTTGTTATAAAATCATAGGTGGTTTTAACCTGGATGATACAAAAGATCTACCCTAGACTGTTTTCATGGCCTTCTGGGGGCATTGTAGCAGACCCTGTTGGTGGCCGCCCGTTTCTGTCTGGCCCTTCCAGTTTTGTGTACTCTGGCATAATTCAAGATGCTGATGTCTATGTAGCTTTACCTGAGAATTTTTTCTGACACTGCACAGTTTGCCAGGGTTAGTAAATAAATATTCCAGTTTTCCAATTGAAAACTCTGTGGTGTACATTCTGTACCATTCTCATAGTATCCCCATGAGGGTAAAATCCAGTTGCCCAAAATGAAACATAGCTTGGTGACATCCATTATCAACCATCTTCTTTTTTGTGTATCCCTTACTCACTTGCATAGGAAGAACTAGAAAAATAGTATCTCCCTTGTGAATGTCTTGCTCTCAAACCTTTTTTGTCAACGTCAGCCTTGGGGAGAATCCAAACTAAAACAGGTTCATTTAATATAAGTTGTGGGTCATGTACCTCGGTAGTGTCCCAAATTTTCTGATCAAGAAGATTAGGGGCCAAAGAGGAAAGTGATCGATGACATAGAGTGGGCCTAAGGAGAGTCACATGGGGAGAAGACACTCTCTCAGGCTTTCACAGAGAGCACATTGGCC